TGATTATGTTTTAGGAATCAAAGCGAGTATGCCAAAAAATAGGGATAAACTATGAGATGATTTGATAATTGAGATGGCGTAGTTCTTATATCTTTCTTTTGACGAATAGAAGAGATCTTATGATTTTATTTCAGTGGAGGATCAGCGGATACTACGCCACGTTATTTTTCCATGCTGTATACTATTGACAAGAGAAGAATTATATACTGTAGTAGATCAGATCACTTAATCTACGAATTTATTCATCGATATAGAATTGCTTCCTTCTAGATTAGCGGAAAGATAATGAAGAGGCTTAAACCTTGATAGAACTAAGGGTGTAAAGGGAGTAAAACAGTAAATCAGTAAGGGAAGCTGTACGAACTAAAAGAGTAAATAAATTCTGAAAATCTACTTCAGGATTAATTGAATTTCTTGTGAACCCCTCGAATGAAACCTATTATAATGGTAGTATTTTAAACAAAAAACAATAGAGCGAACTTGACAAGATATAAGACAAGATATTACAAAAAATACCAAAGAGTAAAATACATTTTCAACTCTCACAAGAACATGCTCGAAAGCCTTTAAGAAGAAAACATTATTTTATCGAGCATCAAACAGAATTCCATTCCCTTTGTTCTGTTAAGTGATTCTTCAGTATTATAGATCAAATAGTGGTACAGGTAGTTTTCGACTCTGAGACATAATCCATGAATGTATTCATAGTTTTCATAACAGCTCATTTACTAAGTATACATGTTTTTCGAAACACGTTGATTTTTTTAGGGTGAAAGTTCAGAAGTTTCTCCTACAAAATCGAGATCAGCGCGCGATCATGATCTTTTCGATCGGCCATCTTACCACTTAGTCTTCCTACTCTCTTGTATATACATATATGTAGAGTAAAATACTAACAGTTGTTTTTTTTGTGTCAATACTTTAAAACTCCTTAGGTAGGACTCTTAAAATGAAAAAGTACCCATAAATACTATGCTACTCGACGGTGTGCAAGTTTTTTGGCTAATACCTGAAAAGCCACTTCGGATTTTCTTAATTGTATACAAGCATAGATTTTTTTCATAGTATGTATTTCACTTGTCGTGCACCTATATATTGTTCTAATCTTACGATTAATTAATTCTGCAACGAAATGTCCGTCGATGCACTTTTCGATAACTTAGCGACCAGTCGTGCAACCACTCATATTATCGAATTCCAGCTTGATTCTGATGTAAAAATACATCTTTGAAAATTTCATCGTAATGATATTAACCTTTCAGGAGTTATCGTGTAGACCAGTGGTAGCAAGCACACTGATTAGTTCTAGTGATGCGTTCACTCTTTCAGTATACTACAACACTGAAGGAATTGAAATTTGTTCTTAATGCGATATTATTCACATTGATTGTCTTCAAGTGAAGCACAGATCTCAAGAATAATCATGTTTTGAGCGGATTTCTACGCTTTACAGCATCTAGCATATCTAGAATGGTTTATCAGTGACAATGCATTCAAAGATAGTTTGAATGAATCTCACGCAAGCCCATCAACTCACATTCACTCTCTTTAAATCTACTTAGATGTATGCAAAAGTAATGTCATCTCTATTTTATTTCTTTACAGATAGATAGAGAAAATAAAGCTCTATTTTTCTATACCATTTCATTCTCCTCCAGTTAATACTATAGCAATAAATTTTCGATGTGAATTATGTTTGTGTAAAACTTAAGTAACGAAAAGGCCATTATGAGTGTTCACATTTTGTATTTTGTTTTTTTGATCTAGTATTTTTCATCNGTTTTTTTGATCTAGTATTTTTCATCAAAGATGAAATATACCAGAAAATGCCGCATGAAAAGCTCTACAATTTATAAAGAACAGTTTGTTTTTATTCGGTGCTTTTTGCTTTCAAAAAAAGAAAACTTCTGCGTAATCAACTTTCCCAATAATGAATGTTGACTGCATGGAACTTTGAAAATGAAAAGTGCATAATTAAGATAAACTGTTCTTTATAAATTGTAGAACTTTTCATGCGGCATTTTCTGGTATATTTCATCTTTGATGAAAAATACTAGATCAAAAAAACAAAATACAAAATGTGAACACTCATAATGGCCTTTTCGTTACTTAAGTTTTACACAAACATAATTCACATCGAAAATTTATTGCTATAGTATTAACTGGAGGAGAATGAAATGGTATAGAAAAATAGAGCTTTATTTTCTCTATCTATCTGTAAAGAAAAAGAATCTTCTTTTGATCTTTTAATAAAGAAATAAAATAGAGATGAAATTACTTCTGGATACACCTAAGTAACGGATCCGCCTAAATCGATGCTGGGCACTTTTCCATGTATCCTTTCGTTTTCCGATCGCTTCGCGCTTGCGTCATAGCAGTTCACAACGTTTTCCAAGTATTCGAGAGAGAACGTTGTCAATAACGCGTCGTCATCTACTTGGTATGATGAACTTGTTGCAACATCTTCAAGTATTTGATATAACTGATCGACGAGCTTCTGCTCATGAATGTTATCCGAAGAGCGATATGAATCGTTTTTTGCAATAAGATCAGGCAACATGGTTGTCATAGACACGGTGTTTATCATTTTACTTCTGCGAGTGAATGAAGGAATACACATAATTTTGTGACCACTACACAACAGAAACGGAAGGGAGCGCAGATATACACTGGGCGACATGGTGCTATTGTTGAAAAAAGTTACTATTCAAATCGAAAGATTTCCAGAAAAAATTTTCAGGCTCTTGATCGCATTTGGCTTCCGAGTAGTTTTATTGAGGTCTACCTGTAGTCAAAATGAAGAGAAACCACAAGGATGTGTGTTAACGAGTAGACTTGAACGAACGTCATCCAAATCATCGTTGGATCCGTTGGTGCTAAGGAAGCTATGCTAGATGTGATGCGTGCTGTGAACTGCAGACAGACATCCCAAAAAAAGCTCCTATTTTAATTAACTCTCAGTTTTAACTCAATATAGCTAAAGTACCAACAATATGCTGATGAGAAAAGGTTTCAGACATCTGATTAGCGTAGTAGACTGAAAATATGAGTGCATTACTAGGACTTACCAGTGTCTTCCATCCATTTCTTTAATACAATAGGCATATAAAGGCTTATGTGACTGAATCGAAATCCTCGATGGCGTATCAATACATCAAAACCCCGCTAAAGTTGAAAGATGAGACTGATTGGACAAGCAATTCGTGACTTAACATACGGTGCAAAAGTCTTTGTACAAAATATCAAGCTTTATAGTTCAATCATTTTATTAGCTAAGGGCCTGGAGTTTTTTTCATCGAAAAGAGTACAGAAAACACTACAAAACCTTTGTTCACAAAACTGAATAAAGTCCTTCACACCAGATAGATCGAAATTTTCTTTTGACACCGTCGATCATGTCTTGCAACATTTTCAGATCACGTTCTTTCGATTTTCTTTTTATTCTTGGAGCTAAAACATCTAAGTTTTTTGCCTGCCAGTTGTTCTCGTATACTTTCTGTTCGAGTAGAGACAAAATTGTTTCGACTGGACGGGAACATTTGGTGAATTATTCTTACGGATTACAAATGGTACATCTTTTTCGCTTAAACATGCTTGTACAGATTTGGAATAATGAGCACTTGCCAAATCTGGCCAGAACAAATAATTTCCATTGGAAGTATGCTTTTCGACGAAAGGAAGAAGTCTCTTGTTGATACATTCATTCAGGTATACGTCTTGATTCATACCTTGCTTGCTCTTGTGAACATATACATTATAAACATCCTTGGATGAAATAGCCATCCATATCACTACATTCTGTTCGAATTTTTTCTGTTTTCGAAATTTTATGCCTGGTGGTGTTGCAGCTGGATAAGCAGAATAAAACGATCGATTGCAATTCACATTGTCTCCAGTCAACTTGAAAAAATTTTCACCATCTAAAATCGGATCATAGCCACGCAACAATTTGCAATATAATTTTCCACATTTCTTTTTTGCCCAATTCTCTTGTTGTTCACTGTCCATTACTGAAACTATTCGACGTTTTCTAATATGAATCGATGTTCTTCTTCAAAGATTACGTGAAATCGTGGTGTAATGTACACGAGAATCTCTTGCTATTTTTTGCGTTGACTAGCACCAGTTCGATTGTTCACTAATTTAACGATACCTTTCATCTTTTTTATCAGATAATTTGAGCGGACGACTACTTTGCGGCCTCTCTTTTGTAATTTCTTATTTCAAATACTTTTTCAAGATGTAATAAATCGTTTGTCGTGGAATACTTTGTTTTATGAAATAATTTACTGTAGTTTTCACAGACTTATTAGCAGAATCGCAGTAGACGTTGCAAATACGTTGTGATAGTACTTCTCTATCGTCGCGTGTCATTTTTGTTAGGAAGAACTGGTAAGAATGAACTATATATCGTTGGAAAGAGGAAAGAATAGGGTATCAATTAATTAGTAAATGTTCAGTTCAAAATGCAACTGAACATTTTGTACGAAAACTTTGGCACCGCATGTTATATCGAAAAAGAAATTGATATTTCTCTATAATTCTGTATGTGTTATAATTTATCTGATACACTTTTTTGCAGTACACATAACTCTGGGATAAAATCCGAAATTTCCACATTTATTTGATATTAGAAAAAATACTGTGAATCATCGAATTTGTTAAAAAATGGTACGATATAGATTCGTCAAGGTTTTATCTATTCAGTAAAAGAACGAAAAAAGCCGAGAAATTTTTACGTTCTGTCATCTGCTTTAGGTTAGGTGTGTGTTATAAAAATTGGAATATATTAGAAGATAGTATTTAAAGTACATAAAAACATTTCTATAAAAAGATCTTGAAACTTCAAGAACAACCTCTAATTGTATACTTAACTACTGAAATACCAAACGAATCATATGGAATCGAATTCACGCGAAATTTAAGCAAATACAATTTATCTGATAACAGTGCAAATATTCGATGAGTAATTCCAGATAACAAGAATGAAATTTTAAATATTAAATCTATTCACTACGTCACTCGTTTTTTTTATATCTTTAATAAAAATCTTCGATTTCAAAAGCACTCATAAAACGAAAAAATTATCTTTGCATGCAAAACGTGACCATGCTATGACAAATAAGTAACGATAGGAAAGAAAGAAAGAAGTAAATAGAAATTAGTCAGAGATATCGCTCTTTATACATATAAATATACTTATATCTATCTGCAATACATTCTTCTATTAATATGTTATATCCAACAGGCCTTTTACTAGTATTGATTACACTCGCTTTTGCCGAGAACAATGTTTTATTTCGCCGATCAACGTTTGAAGAAAATGTTCATGAAACGGAAAATATCGCGATGATCAGTTGCCTTCATAATTGCAAATTTGAGTTTTCCTTCAACGATTCAGTGACAGTACCATCAAGTTGTAGAAGTTATTTGAGATCGACGAAATGTACCATGATACTGGAGATGGACTATATGGAAAACTCAGGTTCTGTCACGTTTGATCTTGATGATACAACAGATATCGATTTCAATTCAAGTATTGCGGTAAATGCTAAGTTTAGTTTTGAACCAACTATTACAAGAAAATCAGTATGGTCGTATGAGTGTGCAACAGGTAATGAATGTAATGCCAAATATTTCAAGAAATATATTTCACACTATATGAACTTAACAAAGGAATTAGAAACTTTACAATTTCATCTTTCTGACGTACTTTATGCGAATAACAAATCAAAAACTGTAGAACAATGCTTCAACAAACAAACTACATTAGAAAGTTGTAACGATGGTACTTGTATGCTTTCATGGAATGACAGTCAAAATTCAACTACAACTTATACCTGTCAATCTACTAAAAATCCTGTTCACATTAATTATCAAGTGGTTAAAACAGATCCAATTATTACCGCACCTTCAGTTTCGAATTCAATTCAATACGTATGTAATATCGACAAATGCAATTCGTATGAAGGTAGTTTGGCTGTCAGATTGGCAGTTGCAGTACACTGGGGTGGAGTATTAGATACAAATTCTGCATCAATACGTCTATTTAACGTTTCACTTCTTTTATTAACTTTGATAAAATTTTTCATTTAAACGAAAGATTATAGTAAATAAATGCGAAAACTTCGGACTTTATACGAAAGTTATGTGTACTTCAAAAAGTGTATCAGATGGCACACAAAAATCTGAGAATTTTTTTGTAAATTAGTAGTATTACAGTCAATCGGGTTCATCTTCGAACTCGTCTGCGACATTGACAATATACTGCTATGTACTAAATTTCTTGACATTTGGATCATTCTTTCAGGAGTTATCGGATTAATGGCCAGACGGATCTACTGACCCATTCTATAGTATACTCACCTTTTGAGTACACAAAAACCAGCATGCAAAGTTTGACAATCTTATCTGCCATAGAATCACTTGGATGATAACTCACCGACGCCAACCTAATCCATCTCATTGTGAGTTCCCTAACAATCCATCTACCCTTCCCTATGCTTACAAAAGCAATACGGAGGGTTTGGCGTACAGTCTTGATACGAAATCGCGTGGGTGAAATTTCACCCAAACCCCACCCAGGTCGGCAACACCTATCATCCTCACTAGTATGCGAACAGTCGTTTGATGCTTTCTAGACATATGGAGACAGCCTGCAAAGTTTCGCGGCCTTTTCAGTTATGGAACCACTTGGGTGAGATTGCACCCACACCATCCTTACCCACCCTCATTACTGGTCCACTAGCTCTCTTTCGATGTTTCCCTACATTCACAGAAGCACTATGAAAGATTTCGTGACTTTTTCTGATGCAAAATCGCTTGGGAGAAATTCCACCCAGATCTCACCCAGGCCTACCCCTTCACTGGCCAATCAGCATTTTTCTGGATCCAAAGAAACAGTACAGAAGGTTTCGTGGCCATAGCTGATACAAAAAGTGAATGCAAAGCGAACAAGCGAATAAACACGCAAATCTTCAAGTTTTTCATATAGGAATTAGAGAAAACTTTATCAAAAGTCAGCAAGAGTACAGCCGATCAGGCTCATCTTCGAACTCGACCGAGGCGTTTACAAGATAATGCTATGTATCAAATTTCATGAAAATCGGATTAACAACCTGTTAGCGATAACAGATAGTACATTGTTATCGCTATCTTTTTTTTCTTTCTCTTCTTGTTTAGACCTATATGTCCTATGTGCGGTTC